CTTGGATGTGCAATCAAGCTAATATTTGTCCAACAAAAGGTAAAAACTACTCTCTGGGCAGTTTCACAGCTGCAGGCAGAGCAGTAACGGCTCTAGAGCATCCTGAGTGATCAGTACCATAAGAGACATTCTCCACCAAGCTTTGTTCTGGCAACATTCCCACTATTTGAGGAAGGAAATGCAGTATTCTCCTTTATTTTCTGCACAGTTGGATGTAAAGCTTGGAATGCAGAATTGCCTTAACTACATGGCAGGAGGATGGCAGTTCATAATTAATTTTCCACATCAACTGTTGGCCACCCTCCTCTTCCTCTCTTCCTCAGTTTGCGAGGCTGCAAACTGTCAGTGGATACTTATCCAAAGAGCAGACGTGCCACAAAGCAAAAAGCAAGAGTATTAATAGCTAGTATTTTACAGTGTGTGCTAACCAAAAATCAGAGGTAAGCTAGCCTGGGCACAGCGAGAGTAGCACGAGTGCAAAGGCAGCTCTGCCTGAAGCTGCTTGTCATCTAAGAGATGCAAAACCAAAGGGGATAGAAAAACAGGATGAAGAGAGTAAGACAGATAGGAGAAGGTTGCAAGGAGACAGAAATAATGTGTTCTCAGACAAAGGTTTTTGAGCCAACTAATTTCAAAACATCTGGAGCCCATAGAAACACGTGCCCTTTTCCACCCTGACTGGACTCTGCCCAACATGTGGTCCATGGGCTGCCAAGCAGCAGCTCAGCAGAGGACAAGGGGCTCCAAACTGTTTTCTCTTCCAAGAGAAAGAAGGTGTGCTCCACTCAGAGCCAGCATTTTCCACTCCTCAGTCTCCAACTCTCTCAAAGACCAGAGTGCAAAGTAATTACAAGGAGGTTGTTGGTCCTCATAGGCAAAAGGTCTCCAGAAGAAAATTACCTGTTACTTCATCACACTCTCTGAAGCACCACTACAAAGCCCAGAAGGCAGAACCACAGGCTGACGGCCCAGGGGCAAGGCCATTTGTATGACTTCGTGCAAACCCACTGACTTGTCACTACTTCAAAAGCACAGGTAAAGGACTATTATATTACTGGTCTGTGATTGATATCTTAAGAATTTCATTATAGTTTGGGGGATTCTTATTTTCCTTCAGAAATTCAACTCAGTTCTGCAGCTGCTATCACCTTTTTAATTCATTTTACAACAGATATTTGTTATCAGAAATTGTGCTTTGATATGTGTCAGGTTGATGGATTCAATAAAAGCCCTGTCAGGAGAAGCTGAGTGAATAGGGTTGCAGGAGTGGTGTCATCAAGGGAATTGATATGTTAACAGCCAATCTGCTGATCTTGCAACAAAACATGCAAACATAATGGGTGTTTATTTCATCAGCCTGGCAAAATAGTTCAGAGAAACACTAGAAAACATTTGCATAAATGTTACTCAGGCAAACAGGCTCAGCATGCTCACTGATAAAAAAACATCTGTAAAATGTGATCCTGCACTCTGTCCTGTTTCCCTGTTTGGTGTGCAAAATTCCATCAAGAAGAACAAAGGCTTTATTCAAAATAAAGCTTTGATTTTAACTTTTGGAATTCAAGCAGACATCCTGTAATGCTCCCTTCGAGCTTTTCCCTCGGTAATGTTGGAGGACAATTTTACTGACACATTTTCAAGCACAACCAGTAGACCTGCACCCCTCAGCAAGTCACTGAAAAGTTGCATCAGAGTTTTCCTTTGACAGCCTTTGACAGGCATACAAAATCAGTGTTTATTTCTGATTTAATAAACAAAATCACACAGAAACATTTGAAGAGAGAAATAATAACTTTTTATCAGACCACATAATACAGGGAGTGAGACAAGGACACCAGCCCCCTGCTCTGCTTTAGGTCAAGCGAAAGAAAAGTCCCTCCTTCACCTGATCAACGCATCACAGCTGCAACACTACCCCTGCACTGTCCTGTAATGCAAAGAGATTTTGTTACCTGGAACTGACTTGCAGAACATCTGGAAAAAATGTGATGCTGAGATTCAGCTTTTGGAAAAGAGAAATAATACTACAGTCTAAACAAAGCAATGGGAAAATTTCCACAGCAATTAATCGGAAAAAGGTGAATTACATTGAGGATTTATGTTCATGTAATGAAGACAGTTAATTGCTATGAGAGCCATAAAACACATTAAATGAACAGGGTTTTTTCCAATTCTACTTGCAAGATAAATTTTATTAACTATGTTTAATGGTTACTTAAAATTTTTCTCTTACATATTTATTAAATGTATCTTTTCAGCAGAACAGAGCATTTTACTAACCTGATTCTGCTAATCTAAAAATGAGCAATTTCACACAAAAAAATATTACTCTGCATGTTATCAGAAGATTCCATTTAAAATAATTCCTTGTACAATAAGACTACCATCACCACAAATGCGTAAGTGCCACTAAAAGGGAATCTGCTTGTCTCACATGAGCAAACACTCTGATGCAAAGATGAATGAGTTCAGTTCACATTATTTGAACAGATGTTTCACTTTCCAGTAGAGATATGGAGCAAATGTTGAGTCCTGATGTCATTTGGTGTTACTGTAATCACATCATTAAAAATCCCTCTACTTGGGAAAGCAGGAAGACACTGGCTTAGATTGGAGCAGTGACCTCAAACAGATCCACATCCAAACCTTGAGCTTTGCACTATGGACTCAGCTGCTCAGCCAAGGCTATCTGTGTGCCTCCAGCTGTGGGTATTGGATGAACCTTCTGCACTTAGATTGCATGCAAATCAGAGACAGATGTTTACCACCTAAAAGTGACCTAGAACTGACTCTGTTTCTTATTCACCATTTATAAAATGGAGATAAGTAGCACTTCTGTGTAACAACGGTGTCATGGGAACAGATAAAGTTGATTGTTGTCAAATATTCTGGTAATCATGAACCCTCAAAATGAAGAGAATAGACAAAAAAGGGTCTCAGCTACTTCAGTGAACAATAGTTTGGCCATACTTAAGCACAATCTTCTCAATCTGCAATGTTCTTCCTTAAAGATGAAGTTTCCATAAATGTGAGCTTCCCTTAAATAAGAACCACGTTCTTAGATCTGACGGCCACAAAATAAAATGCAAAAATATGACCAAAGTCCAACCTAGAGTTTACTGCCCAAATAATAGCAAATCAATTGTACAGAAAATTGTCTTTGCCCTCTAAAACTGTGAAGTTCTACAAAGATCTACACAACCTCATGCTGCAGACTGAGACATTTAGACCTTAGACTGAGAGTTGGACCGACTCAGGTGCAAAGGATGTGGGGAGCTCATCTAACCAAACCAGGGCAGCACCACAATCACACCAACAACTAACATCTCTGGAGCAGATCCTCACCTGCCCTGGCTCCCCTTGCTTACCCAGCAGAACTCACATCCTCATTGCCAGGAAAATTTACATGTTTCAACTTACAAATCCCAAATCCAAACAAAGAATAAACAGAATTGCTGTGATTTCTACATTACAGCACTGCAAAATTTTTCTCTGCAAGAGTCAAGCAGCTCTCTTGATGATGAAATACCTCTCCTACAACCTTCCCTTTTAAGTGCTTTAATCACAGGAACAGTAGCTTGGAAATAAACAGAAGTGAAGAGGATAACAAAGGCAAGAGCAACATTTAACAACCTCCTCTTCTAGAAACCAGGCGCCGCTGGAGCAGAGAGACAACCGGAGCAAGCAGGGCAGTGGTTTAATGATGGGAACCTCTCCCTGACAACCGTGTTGTTTTCCTGAAATGTCTGTACAAATTAACAGCATATGCTCCGGTTGGAACAGACCTTTCTTGACCCTCAACATTTAAAAGTTAAGCACCTAATTTAAGCTATTCCCACCAACTTTTCCCTGCAGCCGCTGGAGACAGTCAGAGCTCTGCTGAAGTGTGAGAGTTTGAGCCTACCATTTCCAGAGGTAACCTGACTGGTGCAACCAGATCAAAAAGCAGGAGAACTAATGCACACTCACCTGTTTGCATCATGTTTTCTTAAAGGCTTTTAAGAAACTCTTGACTTGTTTTTTCCCCCTTCTCCACTAACACCAAGTGCAGGTGTTACATTGCTGCTATATTTTTCTCAGCAAGATTATACTGCTGATTCAGTCATATAAAAGAAGTCAACACCCATGTGTTAAATGAAAAAGCATGGTATCATCTGACATCATTCTACGGAGATCTAGGAATCATTGCTTTAAATATTTTTGTGGGTTTTTTTTTTTTTTAATCAGGAAACTTTGCCTTCACAGAAATAACTTGACCTAGAAAAAAGAAGCCGTAGAACCAGAGACTGTATTACCCTAAAAGCTTTTATAGCACCATCTTCAACAGCAATACATTCCCAAAGTCCTGGCCTTCAATTTAGTGGCATATTGGCTTGCTACAGTTCCAGCACAGCCAAGGCAATGTTTGTGTGGATATGAGAACCTCTACATTGGCAAAAATTTTAAGTGCTCCACAAAAAGGGGCCATACGATTATACAAGGAATTGGTAGTGGTATCTCCATCCCTGGTGAACAGCAAGAATATGCAAAGCACAAAGGAAAGCAAAGGGCTGAATTACAAATTGGCTACTTCATTTACTTTTTTGCATCTCTGGCCCTCAGAACTGCGGACATCAGTGAAACACAGCAAGTAGGACTTTCAAAACGTGGATGCCTATCACCAAGCATACACCACCAGCAGAAACACACAGCCATCAGCAAGCATTTTGTTCAATAGGACACTTGATATAAACACACACCCCCTCAAGCCCAAGACTATAAAAACACTTCAATCTTGATGAACACTTTCCAAACCCAGGAGAGCAAAGGTTATTTACAGATGCAGCACAAGCACGGTGTGTATACAGCAATAAACACAAAGGCTGTTAATGTTCTGTTTTCCGCATACACACTCATTCAGAAAAGAGCAAAAATAATAAAAAAAAAAAAAAAAAAAAAAAAAAAAAAAAAAAAAAAAAAAAAAAAAAAAAAAAAAAGGCAGGGGAAAAAAAAATACATACCTTACCAAACCTGAATGTTGGACGCAACTTGTTTCAGAGCAACATTGGTGTGAAGGTAAGCTCCTCAGGCGACCACCAACCGCAGTTCCTTTCCGAGCCCCCCAGAGGCTCCAGCTCTCCCTTGCCCGTGTCCCTGAGGAAGATGAGGTGTCCTCCAGTATTTCAGAGCCTCAGCTGCAGAACACGCTGTTCAGAAAAAGGGAAGAGAAGAAGGTGTGGCATTTAATTCTAGGGTCAGTTGTCTGGCAGATTCAGAGCAGAACACAAGACAACACCGGATAGGAATGAAATGTCAAGGCAGGACAGAAAGTCTGTGACAATCCATCATGTGTGGCACCTTCAGAAGGCAATCGTTGAATTCAAGAACTGTGGTGCAAAGTTATTCTTGCTTTATAGTACTTTTACAGTGTCCCTAGACCAGGAAATGAATGACAGCCTGGCTGCTTTTTATTCCAGTCCAATATCATAATACAAAAGTAAGTAATGTACTTCTCCCACAGGGAATATTTTAATTCATAATAGCATTTCTGAAGAATAACAGGACTTTCATATTAAAAGCAGAGACATCACCTCAGTCTTAATATTTTGCACATTAAAATGGCTCTTACTTAAGGAATTCAAAGCTTAGGAGCTTACAGCAGATGGGAAGTGGGGAGTGTCTGCCCAACACACAGCAGTTCCCAATGTTCTGCCTCCAGGGGAATTCTCAAGACAGGTGAATGTGCTGGGGTTTTCTGGGCCCAGGGGGCTCAGCATCACCACATTTTCTAGCTCACTGTCACTGCTAGATGTGCTCAGTGTTTTCAGGAGGTCAGATCCTGGCACTGAACACAGATGTGGGGGCCTCATTGCAGACACCCAGGTGAGAATTCAGCAATGGAGATGATCACCTGGCAGCAGTGCTGCCCCAGAGAAGCACTGAGAAGTTCCAGTGTTGATCCCTAATCTCTGGCATGTGGAAAAACACTCAAAGGGGCATCCTTCTCCCACCCAGATAATACAACCAGGCACAGCAGCAGGAAACAGCTGAGGACTGAGGAGAGAGCAGGGTCTGACCACCCCAGGTCAGGTTCACCCCAACTACATGGTTTGTGTCCTTAAACTGAGCTCAGAGATGCCTTCCTAAGATTAACTCAGCAGCCATGAACACGCTCTAACTTTGCCTAGGAACGGAAAAAAAAACCACAGGGGAAAAAAAAAAAAAAAAAAGACAAAGCCTGTGGCAGCTCAAAATACCACTAAATATCATTACATCTTCACAAAAAATCCTGAACTCCTGAACAGGTTACACTTATCTGGAAAACACATAAGCCTTTGGGTTTGCAAGAAGGAAGATTTCAGTAATCAGCACGTGAAACTGTGCATAGTGAAAGTTACCGTCATATAAACCATACCATATAAAGTTGCATTTATATATATGCACAGAAACATACATAATTTTTTTTTCTTTTTTCACCAAAAATCCACATAGCAAGCATGGTCACACAAATCAGAACAATCAAATATATTTGCTTTATTTACCATTAATTACTTTGCTGGACGTCAGATAAGTGGCTCATGCTACATAAGCACCCAAAGGCTCTACAAGCAGAACAGCTTGTGAGACACCCACAAGAGGAGCCAGAGAGGCAGAAACCAGTCCTGCATTTCTTGGTACACATTTGCAGACTTTCTGCCTCTCTTGAACTCAGACATGAAGGACAAAAGCGGGCCCTCACAGTTCCTGTCCCCTTCTAGGCTAACCATGAAAAATCAGACTGCCAACTGAAATGGCTGCTGAATGACTTATGGGTATAGAAATGGCTGATGCTGCAGTAGTTTGATCTGCAGGCAGCAGCAAGACCTAATTCTACTGCTTTTAAGGGATTTTATCTCTGGAGACCACAGCTACAATTACTTTTTCATTTCAACTCATAAATTGTAACGCAGAATAGTCACGAAGAAAATCAGTACTACATTTTTGTGCATTAACCACAGCATCAGCTGAGTTGAGTAGTAGAAGTAATAGTAATAGGACTAGATCATTACTGCAAGCTGAGTGCAGGAGCCTGGTCTCAGGTTGGAAAAGACATGGTCTTGGAAGTTTCTGTTTAGTACAGCTTGTCAATGCTCACTGGAGGCAAATCTCTTTGGTAGGAAGTTGGCAAGTTGCCTTAATATGCAGCTATGTATGCACATAGGAGTTCCTGTAACTTCTTCCTGCACTGCTGGGAGCACCATAAATTCCAGCACAGGCAGGAGCACGCACTTCCAGCTCTTGGAGAAGACAAAAACAAAGCTACCCTCTTCCTTGGTGCTGCCAAGCAGTTGCCTGCTCCAGCCTGAATGCAAGGTGCTTCCTGCACGCTGATGATGTGCATCACATAAATACAGGGGAAGGGAGGCAGGCCAGGGACCATCCTAGTCAGCTACAGAGTAAAATAAAAGACCACAAAAAATTAATACAAGAAAACCCTCACGAGCTATAACTTGTGTTGGCTTAGAAAAAAAAGAAGGTATGCCAGTTCTGTTACCCAAAATTGTACGATTTCGCAGAAAAAACCTTTCACACTCAGTAAGCCACTACTTAAGCGGTGGTCATTGTCCAACTGGTTTTCCTCTCACAATCAAGGAACCTGGTGAACCCTTCACAGAGCTCCTGAGATGCTTCTCAGACCTCCTTGACTTTGGGCATCTCTAGTGAGTAAAAAAGGGTCATGGTGGGCTGATGGAGCAGCTCCCCATGCCCAGAGCCCCAGCACTGTCCCAGAACTGCAGAGTGAGAACAGGCAGCCTGGAGAGCTCGTGATGCCCCATCCCTGGAATTGTTCAAGGTCAGGTTGGATGAGGCTTGGAGAAACCTGGTCTAGTGAAAGGTGCCGGGGGAGGGGGGGGAGTTGGAACTACGTGATCTTTAAGGTCACTTCCAACTCAAACCAGTCTATGATTCTGTGATCCCTGATAAAAACCCATCCATTTCAGTCTGCAGCTGTTAGAGGAGCTGGCACTGTTTTTATCTGAAACAAAACCAAGTCTGAACTTACAGAAATACCCCATGAAGGAGAAATTCCACAATTTTTTGTGGTGTTTCTAAGTTGTGTTCCACCACTAGTCTTTGATCAGACATATGGAAGGAACTGCCGACAAGCTGCAAATTACTTTCAGTATCCCACTTCAGATTTTTACATTCAGTTAACATAGTTAAGTAGTATCAGATCAGTCTTCCAGTCACAGAAGCTGGCATATGGATGTTCTCATTAATCGGAAAAGGCAGGTAAGATAGTTTTCCAGTAAAAAGAGAGTATTTCCCTTGGAGGAGTCTCAGTCCTTTACTGATGGAAAGCATGAATTATACAAAGTAACTATATACTTTCAATGCACCAAACAAGATCAAATATTAAATCTGAAGACACCATTTCTGTCTTGAGATGTTTCCAGACCACAAATCAATGAAGGCTGGGAGGCTCTCTCACAGGAAGCCTTGCTATACCTTTGTTTTCATACTTGTCTTTAGGCATCAGCTATTAATCACTGTTGGGGTGAGGACAGGAGCCATCTGGACTCTTCTCTGACCCAGCACATTCATTCTTATGTTGGTGTGTCACACAGGTTAAGCTGCAGCTTGGACCTTGTGTCTACATATGACAATACTGGTGAGAACATGCAACTTCATCAAGGGCAAAAAGAGGTATCTAGAAGCTAAACAACGTATTTGCAAGCAAATATTGCAGTGTAGTAGATATTCAAATTACTATTAGCTTGTCTCATCAAAAATTAATTACAACCTACCTAACTGCAATTGAATAAATTAGTTGGGCACAGAAAAGATTAAATATTTAAAGAGGCTGATGACTTAGAAATAATTGAAACCGTAACTCCTTGCCTAAATATTAAATTTCTTTTATTTTCACTCCTAGCGTGGCCTTTAAGAAATCAGAATTCCACATGTGTGTGCATCCATGTAGATGTGTATGACACATTCAGGTATACAGAACCCATTCCTGTATAGTCTCCTAACTTCCCTCTTTCCCTGAAACTAAACTTGGTTAAATATTTTTCAACTAATAGAGAGGAGGTTCACTGGTAGAGCCAGAAGAAAGGCTGTGAAACAGGCAAGGGAAAGCACATTTTTACTGCTAAGTATTTAACAAGGTCACCCGCCTCTGCAAGTGCAGGAAAAAAGATCCCACAGCAGACTGACCACAGCAGGGGATTATACCAATTCATTAGCAGGTATATTTTCTAATTACAGTCTCGGACATGAGTCCACTTACAGCTGAGAAGGGAACTACTGCTGCTTTTTGCCATATCCTCAGGACCAAGCTTGCTGTTTCCTACTGAGCTCCAGGACAGCATGGCTTAGCACAATCCCACCAGAGAAAGCAGGGGTACTCTGTTATCTCAGAGGATGCCCCTGGCTCCTCACAGCCAGCTTCTGCATTTTATAGGGTTTGTTCCTCCGCTCCTGCCACATCAAGAATGCCGTGGGATCAACAGCTCATCCTGTCAGCTCCATCTCTGGTAAAGATCTCACATTAATTTAGTGTAAAGGTGACACTGGTGAAGGAGGGAATAAAATGAGACTTTGAATCCCTTCTTCCGAAAGGCTAATGGTAAAAAATTGGAAGCAATGCAACTTTGGCACCTTTCCAACTATAACACTTAGAGTGTTGCCCACAGCCGTGTCCCAGACATGCTTCATCATTCACAATGGCTCAGTACAAAACATAAATAAAACAGAAATCTCCAGCACTGCTGGCACTCAGCTGTTTCGAGGCTTTTTTTTTTTTTTTCTTTCCCTTCCCTGCCAACAAAACAAATAGTGATACAGAACTACAATTCAAATGATAACATCCACCATCAGAAACCTGGTGGGGGCTGGTGGTGGGATGGGAAATTAACTCAAAGAATGCAAGCAATAATAAAATAAAGGATACATTGACTGAGTTTAATATAATGGAATACTGTGATATTGCTGCAGATCAGCACTGATTTTTGTCATCCATTTACAAACTAACAGTATCAAGGAAAAAGGAAATAAGTGGTTAATCATGCTTGTTGTAGGAAATATTCCCATCATAATAGTATCAATATTATGTTATGAGGTTCAAGAGTGTAATAAATATATTGCTGGGTTAGAAAATGCTACAACACTGCACAAGTTTTGCCGCTGTTGCACACAGGTACTTTTTGAAAATCCAAGAAGT